TACCTATACACGTCGATTCCGCGTCTCTGACGGCCACATGGTCTCTACAATACACGTCGATTCCGCGTCTCTCACGGCCACATAGTCTCTACTCCCTGCCGCTGCAAGCGCTAGCAAAACGCTGGTGCCGCTGGAGAAACGCTCGAGAAACGCTGGTATGCTTCCCGTGCCCTCGCTACGCCAGCGTGCGCCAGCGTGCCGCTGGTGACGCTGGTGAAGCTAGATCGATATGCATCCTCTCTTCGGCACTGCCGCTGGCGTACGCTGGAAGCGCTACGCTACGCTGCCGCAAAGTATAAACGCAGCCTAGAGGCTTCAAAACTTATAAGCTATGACTTCTGCTCTTACAATTAGTGGGATACCACTGGTTTTTGCTACGGCGTTGCTCTATTTATATAGGTGCCGAAACAGGAATTGTTAACAGCAAGTGAAGAAGTGAATGATGAGAAAGAGATTGTAGTACTCAGTCCCTTTTAAGTACAGCTTTTGGCCCCTGATAAGTTAAAATGGAAAAGCTTCCCCAGGTAAAAATAAGTTAAAGGCTATTTGAAAATGAGAAAAAGGAAGACTAACATGTCAAAAGCTACTCCCAGGCATTTCTTCCCGTGAAGGCATCTCCAGCAAGAGCCGGCAAATATCTGTGCACTGCTCTAGCGAATATGCCTTGGTGATTCGAGACTCTTCCATTGGACGAAGTGGACGTACCTCTCTGAAAAGGATCGTGGCCTTGCAGAAGTGTAACGCAGATTTCAAAGAAATAGCAAAAAAAAACTAGTCGTCCTACTGACGTAGAACCTACGGGAAGGAGGATTCAGCCATGTTCAAGGCAGCGTGAAAATTAGCGATATCCCAGGGATATGAAGGAACTTTCAGTACTCAGGGCGACTCAAGGCTAGGAGAGTTAAGGGGAGGAGACCACGCAGCGGGAATTACCGCCTACTCTGTTCTCGTAGCGCATTTTAAGGCTTTAATGAAAGAGGACCTCCCACTTCCCTTGGTCCTCGTGCTCCTGTCAAGTGTGTTAGGAAGAATATGTCAGAATCTTCACTTGCGATGATCCCTCCTGCGGTACAGCTAGAGGCGGAGCCTGAGCCGCTTCAGCACACGTTTGAAGTCTTGTAGGGAAAAACACAACGTCGGTTCACTTGAGTTGATTGAAGACGCTAGTAAAAACTGGTGTACTCATTTTCAACCTTTCTCTATCGCACATGTGAATATCCCTTTGGAGTATCAAGGAGTAATGTCCAAAGGGCCTGAACGTACCCTGAGTTTCGAGCCATAGACTTCAGCGTGAGTTTGTGAGCTAGGGCATCTAGCTCTTGCTCTAGGTTTCCCCAACAGGACGTCCTGCCTTTGCAGGAACGACCTCCCCCTCCCCTCAAAGTGCCTCCTGTGAAACGACCACCTTTTCCCATACCTTCGTGAATTCTCCCACCTTCGAACCACTTTTTCAGAGTTCACGCGCCATGATCACGACATTCTGATCCATTCTTAAGCTTCCTGATGGCTCCTTTCGAAAGAGAGACTGATATCTACTCAGTCTACTTGTCCACTCACTTGAAGCATTCTTTTATCCTGGAGTCTTTTAATCGTTTACCATATCCAACATCCATGGGAGTCTTTTTCACAGCCAAGTCTACATTATATGAGTCGATCACCTTAAATGCATAAATACAGTACCCGTAGCGCTGACGAGAAAATACGGCATACCTTAGGGTTGATTGTAGTGGGCTTTTCCGTCGTAGTGGGAGTGGTCGTCGCATGGGTAGTGATCTCGTCAAAAATATTGTGAGCCGCTACCGTGTCGGAGGGAGCATCATAGCCGGATAATTCAAGTACACCAGGACTAGTCGGCTATAAGAAGCTTTCTCAATGCTGTTAGATAAGACTTCTTGCCGTGGTTGAAACTCACTGCTTTCCTCGTTTCCTGGGTCGCTCTAGCCGGGGCTGGAGCTGAGAAGTCACGAAGAGAGGATGACGTGGTGCTCTCCATGCTTCTTGTAGAGGTAGTTGCCTGAATTTTATAGAGAATGAGAAAACCATTTCACAGAATTAGCATCGATGCACTTCCCACGATACATTATACCAGCTTGCACTCTCCTAATGTGCTAAGCGGTCCCTCAGTGAAAAGGGAGGAGAGAAACTTCCGGGAGACTGTGAAGCTGAGTCCTATGACCATACATTTCAGCGGTGATTCGAGTTTGGACCAGTACTATTCGGAGCCTGAATTTTGGAAGGAAACTAGGGTCCCGATCTTATTTGGGCTCGTATCCGTATCCCTGTGTACGCTACTTCCGGGGGCAGAGCTACAGTGAATCAAATGTCTCTTTGTCACTGAAAACACGTTTCTCAATGCCGAAACCATGCAGACCAACTCCGCTGACAGGCATGAGACTTCATGACACATTCTATGATAATCGGATGGGCGGTGATTGGACAGGGCTCACAACGCGATCGATCCTTTCCTGGGACAGGGCTCTTAACATCGGATCCTTTCCTCTGGAGCCCGCCTCTCCTCTTATCGCCTTTTATAGGGGGCGACCCAGGCTGGGGAGGCAGGACTGCTGACGAGTTCACACTAACTTCGCCGCCGAGTGTAGATTACGGAGGAATGTTGTCTTCATCAGGTGGCGTATGGCTATGACGCCCAGACAGAGCATTTCTTCACAGTTTTTGAGGTTTGAGGTAACTATCTTCCTCCTTCACATGTGAAAATGAGCAAGTTACCTGAGTAGCTGCCACCGTGGAGGTGTGTGCTGCTTTTGTTCCGTCTCCCTGGAGACAACTCTGACATTGCCTAGAACAAAAAAAATATTATGATTTTATGACTAAGACTATAATGGTTTTCCTGAATGACTTTTCCATTTATACTTGATCAGTTTGAGAATGCTCCGTCCTTTCCGCCAGGCTGTTAGTTTACCAGTTCGCTGATCGCTCAGCCGGGCCAGTTCGCTAGTTTGCGTCCTAGCCTACAACTTTCGAGGTGGAGAGAGAGAGAGCGTTTCCCCTCAAAACTGCACGCTTGCTGCAGTCCTTGCCGGAACGGCCAGCGTTAGCCTCTCCCGTTCACAGATCCCGGAAATTCCGGAAAACAGGCAAAGATCTAGAGCTGTGTAAACGGCCAGAGCTCGGCTGCCAAGGAAACCAAGATGCCCGGCCGAAGTGTGATTGCGGCGTGTGAGCGCATATCGCACCGAAACCCAGTTAACGAGAACGTGCTTCAGTGATCTAGCTGACAAGTGCCGCTACTTTTTGTGCTTCGCCACAGCTTCACTCTCCTAGCTTGCCACTTCCCCCAGTCTTTGAGATGGCTGTTGGAAGGACGAAAGCTCTCGACGCACGCCTTGAAAAGTCAGTTATTTCTCAGTCGTTAGAGCCAAACCTTGCGCTTGGCTCAATTGTGGATTACGTATGGTATACGTATTGATAATCTGCAACCTATGGTTAGCCCCAACACCTCTGCAGTCCTGTGGAGCACGAGTGTAGGAACTCAGACAAGCCGGCGGCAACGTAACCGGCGTGAGCGGAGGATCTGTCTTCAAGAGTTGCTTTTGTTCGACCTCGCCACATTCCTCATCCAAGGCAACTCCTGCCGTGGATAGGATATAGTGGAGGAAATGTGAAGAGAAAGCCGCCCGACGGTATTTAAGTATACTCGAAATCCCTGAGATCGGGTAGGCGTGGCTGCGTACTTGAGTTTAAAATGGACGGCGGCCCCGGTTTTCGTGAGATATTGTCATTTTGGAGCAGTCGCAATCATGTCTACATCCAACATAGAAGAAGAGAGCAGTTGTTTCAAGTTGAAGTATCCCACGAGAAACCCGTGCTATGCCATGCCTAAAAGCCACGCCTACTCCGTCTCAGGGATAAGAAGTGTACAAAGCCCTGTCTAACTTTCACCTGAAGCTTCTTCATACTGGTACCACTATCGTTCAGACAGATATTCTCGATATAAACAGCCTGGTCGTCTTCTATGAACAAGTCCGGAATATCCACACGTGATTGCGATGCAATGATGCACTCCTGGAATCATTTGAGTAGTGTCCTTAGGTTAGATTCCAATAGCTGGGTGGGTGGAAGGAGGCCAAAGGCAAGTGGAGCAGCTAGGACGCACGTCATCCGTGGACCGAAGCCGGTCCAAGTCTTTATTTCCAAGGTCTGCCAGATGTCTGCGGGATGAAATAGGTAATTCGGCTCTTGACCCACATAGGAGAAAGGCCACTATGACTCTGAATGCAAGTAGAATGCGTGGCACATTCAAAAAAGGGTTTGATAAACGGCGCTATTCCTTTTATCCTTTACCCATGGTCACGCCCCAGCCATTCTATCGAACACGTTTTCCTACATTTTCCGATTTTCCAGTTATAACAGACCTTTTCTTTTTCGTAATAAATTGCACTTTTGCAGACGATGTCACTAGCAGATTTACTTTTTTGGCACCGCTTGAGACATTCAGCTTGAGATGTGACGCCTTGGATCAGCTGATCAACAATACCGACCAAAACCTGCAAAAGAAATAAAAGAAACAAGAAATTATAATTAGTCACAAAATGGAAGCCGAAACGGTTTAGATGGGGCTAGAGCACACAAAGGTATCACTAAATCAGTCGATTGCCCTGTCTTCTTTTTCCTCCCTAGCGTTAGTCCCGCGCCGTCGCAGGGTCCGCTGTTCTTGTTAGACGTCGCCACTTGTTCCGATCCACTGCATCTTCTGCTGTGGCTTTCACTTCAGTGAGGTCCTTCTTGATGACGTCCCTCCATCTTTTCTTTGGGGCTCCTCGTGGTCGCTTGCCCTCTACTTCGAATTCCAATGCCTTCCTTATCGGGTGTTCCTCAGGCCTCCTTAGTATACGTGCCTGTACCGTCGCAGTCGCTGCTCTCCTGCCTTCGACTGGAACGGAGGCCTCTGCATGTCGTTTGCCCTATACTCACTCTCCGGAAATTCCCCCTCTAAAGACTCAAGATCTGTAAAAGTGCACAGAAAGAGGTCAACACGCGACGTCGCGCACATTTGGTATCGCGACGTCGCGTGGTGACCTCTTGCTCCTTTTCCCATGAATTCATTCTTTCACTTTTCCGCTCTCATCCATCCATCCATCCCACGCATGCTATCCTCCGTTCGTAAGGAGGTAT